GCTTGCTACTAATTATTTTAAGTATAATATCCATTCTGGTAGTTGCTTAATATGTGATATACTAATTAATTTAAAATAGGTGCACCCGATTAGTTTAATTTGAAATTAATTAATTTAATCTGAGATTATTAATGCTAATAAAATTAGTTCGGGTGACGAGATTCCACATTGGTTTTATTACGATCCTGCAGTTTTTTATATTTTGTATTTTTCTGATCAAAAAGAATGTTGCCAGAAAGCTTGTTTATATTTTCTATTAATAAATCATATAATTATTTATATTATTTTAATTAAAAATTCTCAGCACAACCCACTACCCATTATTTATTTATTTATTATTATTTAATATTAATTTCATGGGATGTTTAAAAAAAAAAAAAAAAAAAAAGGTCAAATTTTTTTTTTCTATAATTATTGTGCAGATCGGGTGGATATAATTTTTATTAAAAATATCATATTTCTAAAAGCTTACAATTCATTGCACCAATTGATGTAAAGTTGCTTCTCAAAAATTGACGTGAAGAATGATGTAAACTTTGCATTATTTGCATCCCCTTTATGATTTGTAGTGAGAGATATTGCTCCCTTCTGTTTTTTTTTTGTTTTTTTTTTTTTCTTTTTACTCGTGATCGTAGCAGCCAGCCTTGAAGATGCTCATCAATTCAAAAGTCATATATATATATATATATATACACACGACTAATAATAGACTCGAAGACTGTTTCACAATTACTAGATCTCCTTAATCACAATATAACTGATATTAATTACATATTAAAAAGTACGTATAAAAATAACTCGAATTGAGAGAAAAAATGAGACTGAAAATTCTTGATGAAATTAGAGAAAGGCATCGGGAGTCATAGTTTCGTACCCTCTGTACCCACCCACCGCCTTTTAGAAAATATTGGTTGCTTAATTTTGTTCATTTCCTTAGCTTGATGTTGAAGGAACGTGTCGTTTTCATTTGATTGTTAAATCCTAAATTATCTTACCCACATTAATTAACACACCGTAAGAGAACCTAAATCTAATAATTCCCAAGATTAATCTTACTTATTTTCTTTTAATATTTCAAATTTAATTAAAGATTATATATATATATATATAGTAGTAGTAATAATAGTAATATTAAAAAGTTGACGTTGTCAGGAGAGGCACGTTAGCATTTATTGTTGCATTTAATTAAGATTGCATGCAGGCCTTCTAATCACAAACCCCATTTACTTAATTAGGATTTTAATTAATACCCTAATTACCTCTCCTATTTCTCACTATACATGTATATATACACAGACACGAGTGTACAGAAGATGAAGGTTGTCAAAAAGCACATGACTGACTACGATATTTACCGACTGAATTAGTGAAAGGAAAAAAAGGTTTCGCAAGTGTGATTAGACAGCAGCATTAGTGGGGAGAGGAGGATTAGGAGGCGTCGTGTCATTAAGATGGTTAAGCATACAAGATTAAGAAAAAGCAAAAACACAGAAATTAAGCACTTTGCATTTGAATAATTAATACTGGCATCCTAAAACTTTCTCAGTTTTAATCATTATAAAAATGAAAACAGCAATCACTTGCCAATTACTAACTCACTATATACATATACATACACACACACACCCAATATGTAATGCTACGTTAAACCCTTTTCGCTTTGAGAAGAGTTGATTTTGTTTAACGAGTAGATGATGACCCGACAACAGCATGTATAAACATCATCACGTCATGAAAACATGTGTTCGTAAACTTATATGTTTTTTTATTTGTTAAGTGTATTATAATTAAGATACACGTGTATGTATTTTGGATGTGTATAATAATCAAATATTTGTTTAACGTAATGGAATGCTAATTGAAGTATTAGTTTCCAATGTAATTTGGTGGGGGCAAAAGAATAAAGTTTGAAAAGAAGCGGGGCCATTTGGCACCCTTAATTTGACAAAACATTTTGTAAATTAAAAGATTGGTGCGGCATAAACCAACGAAAAGGAACCCATAAATCAACACATCCTCACATGGAGGTGAGTCATGAATGATGATGATGATGATGAAGGAGAAGAAAGAAGAAGAAGAAGAAAGAAAGAAGAAAAGTCTTTAGCAAGGGCGGCTTGTTATATCTTTACGGAACTAGTGGAGTCGTCATCTGAGTTTATTAGCTTAAAATATTTTGGATGGGTGATTGAAGTTTTATCATTACAAAAACAAAATGGAAAATGCCAAGAACATAAAAAGTAAAAAAGAAATGGCATCGTCTTTCGGCATTGCCTGCCTTGGCATCACGCACAGACTCTGCCCAGATGTTGTCTTCTCACCCGACCGATTTGCCACCAAACCCACCTCACCTCTGCATTACACATGCCATCTCTCTCAATAACTCAAACTACACTTTAATTAAATTTTAGTGGCCAAAAACGGTGTCGTTTCACCCCTGTAATTTTCACTGTATAAGTTCTTAATTAGTAAGGTTATCAATACCTACTCCGTCCCCTCGTGCCAACTAATAATACCCAATTATGACAAGTTTTTGTCAGGTGATTATTTTGTATTTATGTAATATCACGTTTTTTATTTGGATTATAATTTTTAATAAATAAATTTTTGTTAGCTCTTTTATAATTAAAATAAAAATACTTTTTTGGTTAAATTTCAACGGGCAAAAATATATTTACACGTTAGAATTTAATTAAAAAAAATTAGGCGGTCAAACTCCGTGAAGACGGCAAGGAAACACACGTCCGGCGCCCGGTAACTTGACTCAGAAAAGTCCAGAATTCTAGATGTTGTCGACGGAGCGTGCAATGCACTCTCATTGAAAGCGTGTTGGCGATCTAGAATATACCCCTACTTCATAAATCCTACTAAATATATCCATCTACTGGAAAAAAGAAAAGAAAAGAAAAAAAGAAAACAAACCTGCTGACTAAGCCACCAATACATACTTTTTAACAACCCATAAAAATTTAATAAAAGTTCAATATTTAAATATAAATAAATAAATTATTTCTGTACATTGATACTGACCAATGAACAGAGAAAGCTTGAAGATAGAGAAAGTGAGACTTCCTCTCTCTAAAATATACAAATCATATACGCATTATAAAACCCTAATTAACCATCTCATTGACCAATCACCATGCCCAACTTTCAACTAAACGAGTTTAAAGGCAACCTCTGTGAACCCTAATTTTAAAATTAAAAGAGAGAGAGTACTGGCTTTTTTTTGTTGTTGTTGAGAGAATATTTTGATGGGAGCATTATAAGGAGGATGTAGAGAGAGACAAGGGGGTGGGGGAGAAGAGGAAAAAATTGTAATGAAAGCAGCGGAAAAAACTGAAGAAAATAAAGGAAAGAGTAACAGAATAATGGTGTTCGAGATGCGAGCCGATTCCAGTAGAGAGGGAACCTTCTCCGTACTTCTTCTCTTCCTTCTTTTGATTCTCATTTTGCCCCGTATTTAATTCTCTATCGTCTGTCTGCTTTTTTTTTTTTTCAAAAAAAAAAATTAATTATTACAAGTTTTTAACTTTTTGTTTAGATTTTTTAATCCGCTTTCTTTCTCGTTCTTTAATCATCAGAGTTCACTTATTGATATCTGTGGTTTAAAAGGAGGAGAAAGAATATTTCAGTTTCTGTGAAGGGTCTGAAAAAAATTAGGGTTTATTCATCCTTTTTTTTTTTTTTCTTTAGGATTTTTTGTTGACTGGGTCAGTGTTTATGGTGCTTGAATCGATCTGCGGATGCATTCTTGATAACTGGGGAAACGTTTGAGGCCTGAAAATTACTGGGCAGTTTTTAAAGAGTCTTGTTCATGATTAAGGATATCCATCAGTGTTGTTGTTGTTGGTGTTAGCAAATCTGTGGTTTATTTTTGTGGGATACGGATTTGGTGTAAATAAGTATCAGATTTGTGATATTTTAGTTGTTTACTTTTTGTCACTTTAGCTGTGGATTTTCCTCCGGCGATATTTGTTGATTCCAGGAGGATTTTCTTCTCCTTCTTTACACTCCACTCCGTTTTGAATGAGAAGAGAAAGAAAGGGAAAAAAAAAAGAAGTCAAATTATCAAAACAAATCACCCACCATTTTTATTGTGGGGGGTTTTTTATTGTGTTCACTTCAGTCTTTTACTGTCTTCTTCATATAAAACATCTAATTAAAACTGTAGATTTGTTTTTTTGTTTGTTTACTTGATAAGTTTTTTGCTAAAAAAGGCAAGATACTCACCCCTAGAAGAAGAAGAGGAGAAAGAAGAAGAAGAAGAAGAAGAAGAAGAAGAAGAAGAAGAAGAACGGGGGTTTTGTACTAATTTTATTGGGGTTTTTTCATTCTTATGGGAATACCCGATAATTCACTCTTAGATCTAATTGACAAGGTTAGGTCTTGGATGTCTTGGGGAGCAAGTGATCTTTCGAGTTTTTCCAGGGAATTGGAGATACCTGTTAATGGTTGCAAAATGTGTTGCGAGTGTGATACCAAGTTTAATGATTTTGTCCATGGATACGAATGCCAAAGCTGTGGTCGGTGGTTGTGTAGGAAATGTATTCAGGGTTATGAATCTTGGGTTTTCAGTGATGCAGATGATGTTAGGGGCAACACCTACTTTAAGAGGAGCATCAAGTTTTGCAAAATTTGTGATGGAAGGGTCAGTCTCAAGCCTGAAGATGGGAGAAAATACAGTGAGAAAGTGCATTCATCAATCTCTCCCAGAGATAGCCCTGAACCACCATCCCCTTCCTTTGCTACAGAGAGAATTGACACTGAATCAGTGCGGAGTGATCATCTTGCCTGCTATCTCAAAGCACGAGATTGTGGGCATTCTCCCCAGGCAGTGAGCAGCAGAGTATAGCATCGTTTAATGCTCACCCGGTTCCCATATCCGTGCGCCATTCAACTAGCAGGTATGTTACCGTTTTCCTTTTGAATTCTTATAAAAAGGGGGCGGTATGACCAACTTCCATATTCTAATACTCTAGAAAATGGGATTGACATGATATTCAATCTGATCCTATGAGATTCCATAAGTCTACAACAGTTTCCCTCCTCCCTCCTCCTTTTTCTCTCTGAATCTGTTGCTAAATATGTCTTATTCTTGTAGGAGTGATGAAGAAGAGGCAGATGATTCTGGGAAACACTTTTTTAGCCCATCAAGTGAATTCTTTCAGGATACTTCAGATGTAGATTCAAGTAGTGTTAGTGCTAGAAATGAGTTTTGGAATTGTAAATCTTTGGGGCCAAGTCCTTACAACAGCCCCCATAGGAATAATTTTACTCCTAGAGTTGGACATACTGTACAGCAGCCAGGGCAAGAGGACAGCCCAAAAGATGGTCTTTTTAATCGAGAAACTATGGCTATTTTAACAAAGCCTGAGTTGAGACCTGAAGATCAGGATAATCCTGATTATAATTCTGATGACTTGACAATTTTTCAGAACCAGCATGAGAAATTGCAGAAGCCATTGGATTTTGAAAACAATGGTTTTATCTGGTATCCCCCTCCACCTGATGATGAAAATGATGATGCAGATAGTAATTTCTTTGCATATGATGATGACGATGATGATATTGGGGATTCGGGTGTAATGTTTTCATCCAGCACTAGCCTTTCTAGTATGTTTCCTGCAAGGGAGAAGCAGAATGAGGGCACCAAGGAACCTCTAAGAGCTGTGGTACAGGGGCATTTTAGGGCTCTTGTCTCACAGTTATTGCAGGGTGAGGGTATCAAATTGCATCAAGAGGATGGTGTTGGGGACTGGCTTGACATTGTTACAACAGTAGCATGGCAAGCTGCGAATTTTGTAAAACCAGATACTAGCCGTGGAGGCAGTATGGATCCTGGTGACTATGTAAAGGTTAAATGTATAGCTTCAGGAAGTCCAAGTGAAAGGTATAAATCTTTTTCTTCTTTCAAAGTGAAGATACTTCAGTTTTTTTTCCTGTACAGGTCAAAGTTTAATTTGTGAATATCAATATGTATGCAGCACCCTTATTAAAGGAGTAGTTTGTACAAAAAATATAAAGCACAAGCGAATGATTTCACAATACAAAAATCCTAGATTGTTGCTTTTAGGTGGAGCCCTCGAATACCAGAGACTTCCAAATCAGTTGGCATCTTTTAACACATTGCTGCAACAGGTAATTTCTTGATGTGGTTTTTTAGGATAAAATTTTAAATGGGTACCTGAATACATAAATTAATCTGGAGTCCTGAACTTTTTATTTTGGACAGGAAAATGATCATCTTAAGATGATTATTTCAAAGATAGAGTCTCTTCGTCCAAATGTTCTGCTGGTGGAGAAAAGTGTATCTTCATATGCCCAAGAATACCTTCTAACGAAGGAAATTTCCTTGGTGCTTAATGTGAAAAGGCCTTTACTGGAGCGTATAGCCAGATGTACTGGTGCTTCTATTAGTCCATCGATTGATAACATTGCTACTACACGATTGGGGCAATGTGAATTGTTTCGGTTAGAGAAAATATCTGAAGAACACGAGGCAGCTAATCAATTCAACAGAAAACCATCTAAAACTTTGATGTTCTTTGAAGGGTGTCCAAGGCGTCTAGGTTGCACGGTAGTGTCTTCTACTTTTGCTGATAATCTTTCTGTTTCTTTTTTCTTTGCATATGACTTTGGTAATCACAAGGTTCTCAAATCCACCTTGTTTGTACTCTCCTCTTATGAGGTTTATTTTGATTCTAACATTATAAACAAGAGCCTGAACCTTTAATTTCCTTGAAATTGCTAAATTCTCACAGTTGGCTTCTAGTTATATTTTCTTCTAGTTGTGGGAATAAACTTTTTTAGTTCGTAGCTGATTTGCTATTGGTAAGTTTTGTTTATTACACACGACTTTACTTGAACATGATCTGTTCTATAGACTTGTACCTCTGTTTCTTTGAGTTCAAAGGAGACAGGATCTCAAGTCTGGTGGATGAATAGTGACTGTGTGATCAGAGTTTGATTAATGGCAGAACCGGTTCTGAACCGTTGATGCTGTAGAGGATAGTTCCCAGTTGGGTTTGATCCTGACTGTAGGGTGATCACCCGGTTGTCTGACAGACCACAAATATTTTTCTTAAAAAAATATATATTTTTTTGAAAGTTCTGTTTGTTACACAGCAGTTAACAGGTGGTAGGGATCTGTTTACCAACACATATATGTATACTTTCATAATCTGGAAACAGAATATGTACTTTCATCTCTCTCTTCCCCTCTCTCTGTTTCTGGTTTGTGAGCCAGAGGTTAGACATTAGATATATACTTATTTCTTTCATGTATTACCATATTAAATCGGTGGTTTTACGATCATCTTCCTCAAGCCTGTGGCATTGAGAAGGAATCTTTATCATCTGAAAGTCTGGGACCACAAATCTGCAGAGGTTGGGGACCTAATCCCAATAATATGCAATGCTTCAGAAAGTAAAAAAGAAATCCAGATTCTTTAACATGAAATTTGCATTTAAAATGTTGTGAATGTGTTTATTCCACTTCTCTGATATGTTTCACAAAAAGAACAAGATCCAGGCTATGCCTTCTTTCCAGCAAATCTGGATTGAGATTGTTGTGAATGCCTTTCAGCTATGTGCAATGCTTCATTATCAAATCATCTTGCGGAATTAAAGCTTCTGAAAGGGGAAAAAAAAACATGGATTGAAAAGGTTAATACTACTTGTAATACTGTCTTATGAGTAAAGTTACCATCATGTGTATGCTATAAGCTTCATGGACTCTGTACCTTGTTTTCTTTTTTTGTGCATTTAGGAGAACAGTTCCCTCTTTGCTCTAAGAAGTTCACTAGTTAAATTCATGGATGTTTGTGCTGCCTGCTAAATGGAACTTTGGTATAACTTGGTCCCACTGCTTTGAGTACATCTTGAGGGGACTTAAAATTTCACAGCTTTAAGTTGGTCTGGATGTGTGCAGATTAGCTTCTGCCCATGGTTTCTATTGTTGAGAAGTGTAGTGTATCTCATGTCTTGTTGAATCATGAATTTTAGGAACCTAGTTTATGACCTGATTTCTTTAACTGTGTAGGTTTTGCTGAGGGGCAGATGTCGTGAGGAACTGAAGAGGGTTAAACATGTAGTCCAATTTGCTGTGTTTGCTGCATATCATTTGTCTTGGAGACTTCATTCCTTGCTGATGAAGGCGCTTCTCTACCTAAGATGAGACTAAAACACTCAATTGCCATACCTGAAAGAATAATGGCTGATAATGTTGTTCCAGTTGTCCCTAATTCTATTGCTCAAACTACCTGCCAAACTACACCAAATGCAGTGCTCCTCGATGATGGGCATGGGAGTCTCAGTCCAGAACATGGAAGATCTGAATCATTGTCTGAGCATCTTGATCTTGATCATGTTTTTGCTTTATCTTGTGGTACCATTGAGAGGGGGACTGGAAATGGGTTTCATGATGTACGCAATGATGATATAGGACATAATACAGGTCTGGATTTGGCTTCTTTTAATGAGTGCAAGGATTTACAGCTACCTGCTCTGCATTCCAATACTAGAGGTATGTCAGAACGAGGGTTTCAAGAAACGACAAGTCAAGATGAGGGACAAATTGGGGATGTCAATAATTGGACAATTTCTGAAAGAATTGGAGAAGATGAAATTTCCAGTGAATATTTCTCACCTGCTGACACCCACCAGAGTATATTGGTGTCCTTCTCAAGCCGTTGTGTGCTGAAGGGAACTGTATGCGAACGCTCTCGTCTCTTGCGGATTAAGTTCTATGGCTGTTTTGATAAGCCTCTTGGAAGATATCTTCGTGATGATCTGTTCGATCAGGTAACTTATCTTAGATGTACCTTAGTCTTCTACTTTTGATATTCACTTGAGAGTTTGCAATTTCATTCTTTAGATTTTTTCTGTCTTAATGTTGCCAGACCTCTTGCTGTCGATCTTGCAATGAGCCTGCCGAGGCTCATTTCCTATGCTACACTCACCAGCAGGGAAATCTTACAATCAATGTTAGACGACTTTCTTCTGTAAAGCTACCTGGGGAACGGGATGGTAAGATATGGATGTGGCACCGCTGCCTCAGATGTGAGCATGTGGATGGAGTTCCTCCAGCAACTAGGAGAGTGGTAATGTCGGATGCTGCATGGGGACTCTCTTTCGGGAAGTTCTTAGAACTTAGTTTTTCAAATCATGCAACTGCTAATCGTGTTGCAAGCTGTGGTCATTCCTTGCAAAGGGACTGCCTTCGTTTCTACGGGTAAATGACATTAAGTTTGCAAAATATTTTTAATAAAATGAGTGTTCCATGATTATTTTAAAAGTTTCATGTTGCAACATCTCACAGGTTTGGAAGCATGGTTGCCTTTTTCCGCTATTCTCCTATTGATATCCTCTCTGTCCATTTACCCCCATCAGTACTCGAATTTGATGCCCGTGTTCATCAGGAGTGGATTAAGAAAGAAGCAGCAGAGGTTGAAGCTGTGAAAATAATTTGCGTGATTGTTGTGCCATTTATGCTGATACCGATCCTTATAACAATATTTGAACTCACTGTTTCTCTCTCTCTCTCTCTTCTGCATTTTCTTACAGCTTATGGGTAAAATGGAGAGAATGTATGTGGAGATATCCGATGCAATAGACAGCATGGAATACAAGAGTAGTTCTGTTGGGCAAGAACTATTTGATACAAGTAAGTTGCGGAGCCACATACTAGAACTGAGAGATCAGCTTATAAAGGAAAGACATGAATACAATGTAAGTCTTGATTCTGCAATCTATTTGGATGGGGTTTTGCAAATCATTAGGAGATACTTTTACCGTAATTCTTTATGACTTTATGTTTAATTTTTCATAGGCTCTGCTGCAACCAATTTTTATGGAGGCCTTGCCACCAGGTCAGATGGCTCCAGACATTCTTCAGCTGAATGGTTTGAGGCGTGCACTTCTAATTGGTTCACATGCTTGGGATCGTCAACTTCATTCATTGCAGTCTATCCTTAAAAAGGGATCTATAGCTGAAACAGTTGCATCTTATGCTGAAACGAAAGAATTAAGAAGCGGTTTAGCTGAGGGTAGAAAAGTTGACCAGGGTAATGATGAGAATGTACTGGGATCTTCAGAATCACAAGGATCTCTTGATGGTGACTTAAAGGAGGGTCTTAGTTCACTTACCCTCGAGCCTATTGCTTCTCAAGATTCGCTCCCAACTTCATGTCATCGTGGTGGAGAGGAGGATATACATCCAGGTGGGGAAATTACTGCTAACAAGGCTTTAGGAAATATCTCCCCTGCTTCTTCTCTGTCTGATAGAATAGATTTGGCATGGACAGGAACAGACCAACTTGAAATGAAAGTTCACCCTCCATGTGAATCTCATTCAGAGGGATTTCCAGCTGGTAATCGTCTTGGAAAGTGTAGTGTTCCTGTGAGAGTTCATTCTTTTGATTCAGCATTAAGATTCCAAGAAAGAATCCAGAAAGGACTACCACCTTCTTCATTGTATTTGTCAACACTCAGATCTTTCCATGCTTCTGGAAATTACAGGAACATGGTGAGAGATCCTGTCTCCAATGTGATGAGAACTTATTCCCAAGTATTGCCTCTGGAGGCACAGAAGTTAAATCTAATTCTTAGTTCCACACCATCATTTATTTCCTCTGCTTCTCATGTGGCCGAAGGTGCTCGGTTACTGCTTCCTCACAGTGGCCACAATGACATGGTGATTGCAGTTTATGACAGCGATCCTACCAGTATCATATCATATGCCCTTAGTTCTAAAGAATATGAGGATAGGGTTGCAGATAAGTTTAACGAGCATGAGGGAGCATGGAGTGCTGATGATAGGTCTAAGGATTCAGCATCTGCTGCCTTCTCTGCATGGCAATCATTTAGTTCTCTGGATCTGGAGTACATGCATTATGGAAGTTACGGATCTGAAGATGCTTCATCCTCTATCAGCTCATTGTTTATGGACACCAAAAGATCTCCACATTTAACAATTTCTTTTGAGGATGATTCTTCTACTGCTGGTGGCAAAGTCAAGTTTTCTGTAACTTGTTATTTTGCCAAGCAGTTTGACTCTCTCAGAAAGAAATGCTGTCCTTGTGAAGTGGACTTTATACGTTCGTTAAGCCGCTGTCATAAATGGAGTGCACAAGGGGGGAAGAGCAATGTGTATTTTGCAAAATCATTGGATGAAAGATTTATCATAAAGCAAGTAAAAAAGACTGAGCTGGAATCCTTTGAGGAATTTGCACCAGAATACTTTAAATATTTAACAGATTCTCTTACCTCAGGAAGCCCAACTTGCCTTGCTAAAGTTCTTGGTATCTATCAGGTCAGTCATCATAATTTTGTCTATACTTGTGAGCTGTGTACACGTCACATGTAATGGATGCACGAACTTGTGTTAAACTAATCCGAGTTCAAATTTTTTTTTATTCTTATTTGTTGTCTTGATGGCAGGTCTCTGTTAAACACTTGAAAGGTGGCAAGGAAACAAAAATGGATTTAATGGTGATGGAAAACCTCTTTTTCAACAGGAGCATCTCGAGGGTCTATGACCTCAAGGGTTCTGCACGATCCCGCTACAATCCAGATACAACAGGGGCGAACAAAGTACTGCTAGATATGAATCTTTTAGAAGTGCTGCGTACTGAACCCATTTTTCTAGGAAGCAAGGCAAAGAGAAGCCTGGAGAGAGCTATTTGGAATGATACATCATTTTTGGCAGTAAGTATTTTTTCCTGTTTCCCTGGCTCTATATTGGCTGATGTGTTGTACCCTGTAAAAGAGTAATTGATGATGGATGTTTTAACAATGTGTATGTGGAAAATAAGAATATTAAAGGAATGTTCTCTTGCAACATGCCTCATATCTATTATAGTTTAAACTGTCTTAAAATGTGTTTATACTCGGTAATCTATAGTGTGAGGGCAGCATTTGATGGGACAATTTAGAATTGTAAGGATGCAGTTAACCTATATAATCTTTGATATAGCTTGTTGGCAACCAACTAAGGTCAATTCTTCCAAGAAATGCCCCCATGATTTAGTTTTTTTTATTTGGCAAATGCCCTATATAGTTGAGGGGATTCAGCACAGAAGAATGTACAGTAATTAAGTCATTCATATTACATTATACTTCTACTGCGAACTCTAACACTTCATTTATCCTCGTCCATCTACAGTCTGTGGACGTTATGGACTACTCATTGCTAGTTGGAGTGGATGAAGAGCGGAAGGAGCTGGTGTTGGGAATTATTGATTTCATGAGACAATATACATGGGACAAGCATTTAGAGACTTGGGTTAAGGCATCTGGGATTCTGGGTGGACTGAAGAATGCTTCCCCGACAATTATATCTCCAAAACAGTACAAGAAAAGATTCCGGAAAGCAATGACCTCGTATTTTCTCACGGTACCCGATCAGTGGTCGTCATAGTAAAAAACTGCAATTCTTTCCATTCACAAAGTATTTGTTGGTTAATAAGCCGTGTAGGGGGTTACAATTGCAGATAACTTGATGAAGCTCCCCTCGTGCTTTGTTTTTTTTCCTTCCTTCCTTTTCTTCTTTTTTGAAAATATTTTGGTTTATGGGCAAAGTTTAAAAGCTCAGAGGCTCCAAACAGACAAATGTATACGTAGAGGATGGAAAGAAATGTTGGTTGTTTAGGGTATTGTAATGGCATGTGCAAAAAGTTACTCCCACGTATTCTTGAATCAATCATTCTTAGTTCTTAAAACCTCATTAAAAAGTTTTCCATGGGAGGCCAATTAATTACAGACCAGTTTGGGAAATGATGTTTGAACTTTATATTGTAAAGAAAAGATAATCGAACGGTAAACATTGTATGTATATATATATATATATCCACAGCAAGTGTTACATAAATTCTATCATTCTTTGCTATATAAGCTCTTTTCATGCTTCTGCTTTGTAACTTGGGTGTCTTACTTTATATATACATGAAAACCAAAATAATTAACAAGAAGCATGAAGGCTTAAGAATATATAACATTCTTCCTGGAATGTAAATTATATTTATTGATTAATTAAAAACAAAATTAAACTAAGCCACTGCTATTTGGCTCCCTCCAGCTTCGCTGATTCCCATGAAACTCACTCGCTTCTGCATCCAACAAAAAGAAAATCAAAATCATCATTATATTAAATACATATATATATATATATATATATAGGTGTGTGCATACATGTATATATATATATATATATATTAGTGACGATGTTATTTGGTAGAATATAAATAAGTTATTATTATTATTATTACTATAGTTTGATTACTAAAAAGTATAGTAGGCAAGAACTTAGACCCAGTACGTTCAAAAATATTACTACTACTAATAATAATAATAATAATATTGGAAAAATAAATAATTAATAATAAGTCAATTTTTTATTTTTTATTTTTTTAAAAAAGGTCAAAAATCATGTTCACTACAGTAACGTAAATACTGGTCAAATTGTCGGTCCTCAACATGCTCCCGAGTTCTATCTACGTCTGCGCTCTGACTTCAATGAAAATAAAAAAAAAAAAAAAGTGTCTCCTCTCCTCTTTCGCTTCAAATTTCTTTCCCTTTCTTTGACGTATCGGTGTTTTCAACTTCTATCTATTTCTATTTTCTTTTAGAATTTTTCTGGGGAAAATATGCTTTATTTTTTTAAGGAAAAAAAACAAGAAGCAGTAATGGTGGCATGAAAAGAGGTCTATGTCTAAAAGGAAACTCACCTCAGGTACCTTGAAACTCTCTCCGACTCTCCCATGGCGACCGCCACCGTTCCAATGCGGTTCTTGTTTCTTGGCCATGCACAGATCCACAATTCTCTCCGCTGCCTCCGCCTCGTCTCTGCTCTCTTTCATCAGCCTCTCCAGCTCCGCCTTGCGCACTCTCATCTTCAACCTCATTGCTCCACTTTGCTCCTCCCCGCCGTCTCCCCCCTCCTCGGGAATAATAACGCTTGCGGGCTTCATGATGGTTAGATCAGACACGGACCTCCTCGACAACATCAGGCTCTCCAGCCTCTCCTTGGCGCTCATGTTTATGGTCGACCGGACCCGTCTCGGGACCTTCTCGGTCCCCGAATTCGGCAACTCAACCAGGAAGTAGAGCCTCTTGGGAGCCAACTTCTGCTGCGGTTGCAACGGCTTGGCTCGTGTCCCGTAATGCTTGACAGCCTCGGATTCTAACAGCACGTGTCCAGCGGGATAGTCCTCGAGCACCTCTTCAGCTGTCACCGGTGTCTTCAGCTTCAGTGTCTCCCCACTTATCTTCATGACCTTGGTCGTCTTCTTCCCTCCTAAGCTGTTTCCCATTCTCGATTTATTCTCTGTTAACGTTTCTTTTTTCCTTCCTTTAGTGTCTAGTCTCTGTTCTATATAAGAGCCTGCTGTGGTTAAATATTGAGAGGTTGATGGTGGGTGTAAGATAAGGACGGGGTTAGGTTGATTAGTCAATACAGAAGCCAGGTTTGAAAGCCCTCTAATTCTTTTGACAAAGAGAAGAGAAGAAAAGAGAGGTTTAATTAATTAATTAATTAATTCGCCTTCACTAATCCAATTATTAAGATTAACAAAGCGAAGTTTGTTATTCAATTTAAATTATAAATCTCTCAAATTAATCTTCCGGGAAAGTACCAGACCTTTCATTAATTGGTTAATAATGATTATATCATTACATAATCATATAATTTTTGTTAAACCAAAATTAAAGTAATTTTGATGGCGATAATCACGGCGGGAATTCAAGCCATTTTTGTTAATGTACATGTGAAAATTGACTTTCATGTTCTGGGACTAATCCATTGAAATGTTTTTCTAACGTTTGAAAACTTTCACGACAGCAAAGTACCAAATGGACCGCCAGCAAATTTAATTACCTTTTGTTTTTTTTTTTTTTATAATTTTAATTTTTAATATTCTTTTCTGTTATTTTAAACTAAATAAAAAATTAAAATAAGTAGGAGGAATTAATTTTTTTTTTTTTTTCCCTTTGAGAAAATTAATTGAATGTCAATTACCTGATAATATTCTTTTCTAGGCTTTATGACGTTTGCATTACATATAATAATCCACACCCCCCCCACTAGCGACAACAAACAAGCACACATATATATATATACATATATGCATGCATACATATAGCGACAAGTAGTCAAAATTTACTTTTCATTACAGGCTGACCAATGCCGCCATGCATTCAACTTTCTACTTCTACAATATAATTTACGTGCAATTTGTTTTATATTAAAAAACTCGTACCAACCGAAAGGAAGAATATTTTAGACGCGGCCGACAAAATTTTTCAAACAAACGTGCTTCATAATATTAATGGTGGAACAATTTCTATACATGTATGTAATAGATGTATCCAACTGTTATGCTATATGGTTGGTTCGACTTCAAGCCGTATAAAATGCCAAAAACCAATCCGTAAATATTGTTCTTCAATTACATAATAATATTAGAAAGGGGTAACAAGATGAATCGACAAACAAGAGATCAAATGAATTTTTACACACTCGTGGATCGAAGCAACAAATGAAAACGACGAGAATGCACGGAGCAATGAGATGGCTTTCTATCTCGTGCTCATTTCCTCAATCGTAACGTCCAAAAAAGAAATAGTATCTCAATCATTGTGTCATGTAATCGGAATCAGATTAAGAAAAAAAAAAAAGAAAAGAATGAAGGAATCACCTCCTTAAAACTTACTTTGTGTGCCTGTTATTGCTCCTGTACTTTGCGAAGATGCTCTAGCAATGAATTGGCCTTCCGCTTGGCCCTTTCTGTGCCACTCCTAGCAACCTCTGCCAGAGGTATCACAGCACCGAGCCTACTAATACAGGCCAGATTCTCAGAATCTCGCTTGCACAACGAAAGTAAAATTGCAGCTGCATTCTCCTTGTTACGAGGCAAACCTGTCCTCAACAGATCTATTAAAACAGGTATGGTGCTTGCCTTTACGATAGCTGCCTTAGCCTCTTGGTTGCTGGCAAGAACTGAGAGTATAGTTAGAGCTTCATCGACCATGCAAGTTCTCGAATCTGTTAGCATATTTAGTAATGCTGTTATGATCCCAGCCCTGACAGCCCTGCCCTTGTTCCCTTGGTAAATGCAAAGATTAAACAATGCTGTTGCAGCATCTTTCTTCCCTCTGCTGCTCCCATTTTGCAGCAAATCTACCAGGGCTGGTATTGCCCCTGATGCACCAATTATTATTTTGTTCTCATCTGCAAGTGCCAAGCTGAAGAGAGTTGCTGCTGCATTCTCTCTCGCTTCCATGCTGCCAGCTCTGAGGACCTGGACAATGGAAGGCACAGCTCCGGCCAGCATTATGAGCCCCTTGTTACTTTCATATATAGAGAGGTTAAGAATAGAAGTTACAGCATTTTCTTGGGTCATGACGTCGTCTGCGGTCAGAAGATTGACCAGAATAGGGATAGCTCCAGCATCTGCGATCAGTATCCTGTTATCTGTGCTTCTTTTGGATAGAGATCTGATTTCAGCCACAGCAGCCCTACGGTCTTCAACGGATCTGCTCGAGAGCTTTCGCACTAGTGCTTGGATAGCTGACATATCACCATTTACCTCTCGGAAAGATCCATCACTCTTTTTTATCCTTCCATTGGCTGAACCTGTTGGCTGTTCAATCTTGTGTAGCGTGCACCACTGAGTTATAAGACTCCTCAAAACGTAATTTGGGGTTAGTGTAAAATTTTCAAGCTTCTGCTGCGTTTTAGGACATGTTGCATTTCCACAATCTATCCATCTCTGTATGTAAGATCTTTCATATGTCTGTAAAAAAGACGAAGGATTTAATGAGTCGTGATAAACATAGGCATGGGCTATTAAACTTCCACGAAAAACATTATAAACAAACATAAAAGTATCAAACAGAAAACAAAAGATTAATCAATACCTGTCCCGTGGCAACAATAACAGGATCCCTCATTAACTCCAGAGATATCGGGCACAGGAAATCATCAGGAATTGTGAGTGGCTCACTCTTCGTGTCGTCACTGATCTTGGTGGCTGAACTTTCTTGTTCTTCAGCAGCACCATCTTTTGATGGACGTATCTCAGCAGATATTTGCAAGCTCTGGAGCCTGTCAAGTTGATTTATTATCTGATCACCGCCATGAGCCTCTGAAACCTTAATTTCTGGATTATGTTCTAGCTTTTGTGTAACTTCGTGACTGGTATAACTGACTTCTTTGTCCGGTTGTTGGGATACAGTACGAGGAGACCTTTTTGAATTCAAGGACCCATATCTCTCTGTGGCTCTTCTCAACTGTGCTCTCACCAACTCAACCTGACAAAAATATTATCTTAAGAGCAAGATCACCCAAGAAAAAATCCCCACATATTTCTAACACATACCTGCTCCTGAACTTCCTCTGAGATGTCAAATTGATTATATGGTAAGCTCGCCAAGGCTTTCTCTAGCTTCCATGTCACACATTGGAATTGGAAGAAAATTCTCTTTGCAGCTCCATCCTTAAATCAAGATATAGCAAATTTCAGAGAGGTACCTATACATTTTTTGGAAGAATGTGCATGACCACAACAGATTCAAGAGTCATTAATTTTCCATGTCAAAAAAATTTAGGTTGACTGGATATAATCCCATTCATAGGATGAAAGAAATGCGTCAGAACCCCAAGCCGATGAATTAGATTAAGAACACGTTCAACATGCCTACTTACTGATTTTTCACACTCTGAAGTTTAAAGAAAAAAAAAATGATATTGTGCATGATCAGCGGTTGGTTGATTTATGTTTTTACAAAAAAAAATCTTTACAAGAAAAATATATATATTTAATAGAGAACAAATTTTCTAACTTGCTGCTTGTTAGTTACTTATACTCTATGTTAAAGAAATTACTTGTTTCTTCTCCTGTTCTCTGCAAATTTTAATTTGAATTGTTGAAAAAATTGAGCTGCGATCAAATCCCAAAATGATTGACATTATCAAGGTGATAGATCAACCTTATGCAACGAGACCCAGGAAAAAAGCCGAGACCGGAAGATCAGGAAGCAGAGAACATGGATAAACAATATGAAAGACACAAAATACCACTTGGTGGTAGTTGAGGGAAACTGGATCCAGAGATAGCTAAAAATTCCTTTATGCAAAGTGAAGTTGATTGTTCTAAGGATTTTATATAATTAACAGATTCGTTGAATTGTGATATACAATCCGCTGGATTCATAATACATAAGACCAGGAAAGAAAAAGATTGCAAGTAGTTATTGATTGTTGAGGATTGATCCAGAATAACACGTTCAACTACCATTGACAGGATTAAAGTTGCAGGGAAAACAGTCTCCTATTCTCTATCCATAACCCAAACATCGAACATAAAATGTACATTGCTACTCAAGTACTAAGAAATTCACTTCTCAGACAAAGATTTCTGTTTTCTTGCCTACTAAGATGTATTCGATGATTGTGATATACTAATTTTCACAGGATTAAAACCTAACCACACGACTTTTAAACAATACGGATGCATTATCCAATTGAATTGCAGTGCTCCAGAAATTGAGTTCAAATTCCATTCTTAACCGCTATTTTCTCGCAAGCACTCACATTCAGTGATAAAGGACAACAAAAATTGTACTTACAAATGAATCGGTGGAATCAGAATTGCTGGCCGCCAAAAGAAGGCGCTTAGCAGCCTGGAGCGCCCCCATTAGATCAGAGCGCCAATCAGAAGAATCGGACGAGGAGGAAGACGAGCAACCAGAAGTGGAGGCATCAGAGTGCTGAGAGTCCCTAATCTCCTCCAGCAAATTCATCAACAACGCTATCCTCCGCAACAGATCCGTACAGTCCTTCTTGAACTCCCCTCCACCATTCGGGGGAATCCCGACGATCTCCCGAACAAGATTGATCAGCACCACCGGAGAAGGGTCGCCGGTTCCCGTGACAGCCAGGACTAAGGCGGCCATTCCGCCACGTGGAGGGCAGTTGATGGAAGCAAAAACAACAGGAAAAAGGGCAAACGAATTGACTGGCGGAGTCGTTCTCAGCTCTTGCTTGCTTGTCCGATTTATTGCCGCTCCATCATTACAGGCTATCTGTCTTCGCGTCCCGAAAAAATAAATATATATATATATATATGTATATATGTAATTGACAAATACAAGAAAAGGGTAGGATTGATTAATTAATTAATTAATTAATTAGTGTTAACAAGATTATAATCATGGATTAACGGGAGAGAGAAAAGTATATCGAGATTCGCGGAAGAAGAAAACGAAGAAGAAAGAAGACAAAGCGGTACAGTTGGATTTGGAATATGATGATTGGTATCACAACAACTACCAACACCAACCATATATATATATATATATATATATTTCATTTTCCTGGCACCCATCAAAATTAAGAATTTATTACACTTGGAAATAAAATTAAGAAAGAACTGAAGCATTGTGGGGTGTCGAGTCTCAGCGAGCATCCGTGAAAAAAGGAAAGCGAAGTGAAGCGAAGGATGCCAGTTGGCAGTTTTTGAAAAAAGCGTTAGTTTCCTAAATTAAACAAGGAATTTCTAGTTTCTAATTCTAGTTGTCTTCGAGACGGAGCTGGTCACAATTCCTGTCATTCACAGGATCATCTTCTTTTTTATAATTAAAAAAAACCAGGTTGAGCTGGCCGCCACCCATTTTCTTCCTTCATTCATTCATTTGTTTTTATAAAATTTTATTTATATATTCTACAATAAATTCCAAAAATATTATCTGACCAACACTTAATCTTACATGTTTAACATCTCATATGTATATATACACACACACACACACACATATCTGCGTATATGTGTTTAAATGTTCATGCTCACATCTCTTGTAATTAAACCGATGTGGGGATCCATGAAGTTTAAGTGATTCATTGAAAGTTATATGTGCATTAATAATGAATTATTTATAACGCATAAAGCAGATGTATATGAAATTTCGACGTGCTTCCAACAAGTTCTTTTGTCTTGTAAAGAAAAGAACCGCCATTGTTAATATTATAAATGAATTTTGACAAATTCAACTCTTGACCAAATATATATATATATATATATATATGGCAATTTAATTGGGCCGAACCCAATTAGCATGGGCTTTTTTTTTTTTTTTTTTTTCAATTTACAGCCTCTGGGTTTTGACTTTCACAACCTTTTGAAAGTTTGACTACTCGCTATTGGAATATAATTAAATAATTTTATACTCATGTAAAATTTGACTTTTGGTACTTTAATGTCTAACACAGCTAGCAATGACCCATTACAAATTTGAGCGAAATTGGCAGCCCATAAATTTCGCCTGGGAATAATTTTGAACTTCAAATTTTGTATTAATTCAAAGAATCCTATAGAATTATAATTTAATTTTGTATTTTCCAGTTCACACTCTACAACAATAAGAGTATATATTATTTCAAAGAATATGCAATTGATAAATATTATATTTTACTTTTGGAATTCCCAAGCAATCTAATTAGTGCATCAGAAATCCAAAAGCAAAGCAACCCCAGCTGTGTTAAGGTTCAAACCTGCATTCCTTTCAAACTACATCACAAGTTTCTTCAAGTTTAAAACAGTTGACATTCAACATAATTTAATTAACTCTCAGTCAGTCATTTAAACGTAAAACGATTTCTCATGTACAAAATGATCGTCTCCCACTGATTACATCCATATATATATATATATATATATATATATTAGTTTAATTATACATGGAACATAAAATTAAAGATTATAAAACAAAAAAAAAAAAGATAAACCAAGTGATAAACTATTGAAAAAGAAGTAGAGTAGGTGCTTGCTCCGTCAATGATACATTAGATACTTCGTGGGGCTCCTGCTCCTGCTCCTGCTCCTGCTTCTGCTTATGATCAACGTTTATACAGGAATGAGATGGAATGACACAACTGATGGTGAGATCAAGATTCAAATCAGGTAACTCATTAAACCGTACTCGATCATTTTCTGAGCAGCTAGCCGCATCCGACAATCGATCGTTGTCACAGTTCAATTTGAGTAAATGTTGGGAATAA